AGGGGGCGGCCCGTCCGCGGGCTGGGGCCGGTGGGCGCCTCCCCTGAGGGCCTCCTCTCCTGGGCCTGAGACCAAACTCGCCGCGAGCGGTTCGGGAGGGAAGCCTTCAACCTGCGTCGAAGCCCTGGGTGCGCACCGCCGTGCTCTTGGGGTCCCGAGGGCCACCAGGCGATGGCCGTCCCCTCTGTCTGCTCCTAAGCAGCAGCGTGAGCCCCGCAGCGCTGCGCACGTGCCCCGGCGTTTGCAAACGTCCTGTCTGCAGAAAAACATACAGCCTGAGTGAGAATCCCTTTTTCCGTGTCCAGCAGCACTCAAAGCTGTCGCTTCTGCATCTCTTCCAGGACAGCACCTCATCACTGCCATCGCAGAACAGATGTTTGGATTCAAGACAACTTCATGGTGAGCAGGGAAAAGGCTCCATTTGACCTCAGGCTTACCTTGTTTGGCACGGGCCAGCGTGCCAGGCCGCAAGGAGCTGAATAAATCAAAAGCAGTTTCCCTTGGACATGTCACGCTCTTGCTCAGAGCGCCTGGGAGAGGTGACTGAACTGGAGAGAAGCTGTGCAAAGTATTTGCTTTGTATTGTCCTTCTCCAAGTGGGATGCATCTGGTGCTCTTTAAATGCTAGGGAGAGGCGGGAAGTATGTTTTGTTACAGTCACCACGTTCCCAGCAGTGGGATGGCACTTAGTGCCGCACAGAGGCACCGTCCAGCCGGTCCTGCCTGCAGCAGCAGATGTTCTTCATCGGTGCAGGGAGCTGGGCCGCCAGCGAAGTGTCATTGAGCTGGACACCCCCTCCATGACAGCAGAGCAAATAGAGGCGCTGGAGAAGAGCGTGAATGAGAAAATCCGGGAGAGGGTACCCGTGGTGGTGAGGGAACTGGCTGCAGATGACCCTGAAATTGAAACAGTGAGTGGTGGGGAGAGAACTGATGATATCCATGGGACCAAATAACTGCGGCACGGGTGTCACCTTGTTTGCCGTTGTCCTCCTTTTGCTAGGTGAGAAGCCGTGGTTTGCCAGATGACCACGCGGGGCCAGTGCGAGTTGTTGACATCGAAGGCATAGACTCCAACATGTGCTGTGGGACTCACGTCTCCAACCTGAGTGACTTGCAGGTGGGGGCTGCCTCTGAGCTGCCTTCGGGAGCCTCGCGCCACACGTTCACACCTAGCACAGCAGACATCCTGAGAGCCAGGGTCTGCTGGAAACACTCCCGATGGTAAAGGGGGCGGCAGAAGCCCCGCGCTGGGTGAGCCCCACAGGGCAGCACGTGGGCCGGCAGTCTGCCCAGTCAGTCCGGCTCCTCTCTTGCTTTGTAACAGAATTTGGCCCTTGACTGCAGCACTGATATTTTCTGGACGGCTGGTTGCTCTGCGGAGGGCACGTGGTACATTGCCAGTCACGTGTTGCGCTGCTGGGTTGTTAGCGTTAGCCGTTTGCTCCCTCTGCTTAACGCTCTGATATTTTTGAGTGTTTGTCACGGATGGGAAATCCTCTGTGCAGGAAGGTGGAGATAAAATTCTTGAACTGGCTTTAAGTGTTTCTGTCTCTTCAGTTGTTTGTTGGAGTCAGTATCACAACAGAGACATCCAGATGCACTGCAGAGTGCAGCCCACAAATAGCAGATTGTATTATTCCACTGTATCACCATCCTTTTTTTTTTTTTTTTGGTATGTTGACCTTTTGGCTGATTTTAGCCCGTTTATTTTGACCAGCAGAGAGCCAATATTCACAAGAAGGCATAGTCTAGTAGGAACTGGCCACCTGTGTGAGTATAAGCAAAGTACTGTTCTATTCTGATCAGCATGATTTTGTTTTTGAGGTTATTAAACTCCTTGGCACAGAAAAAGGGAAAAAGAACAAAACCAACTTGGTTTTCCTGGCAGGAAACAGAGTGCTGAAGTCAATCGAACAAAGTCACAGCACTGAGAAGGCTCTAACCTCACTGCTCAAGTAATTCCTTTTCTACTTTGATTATTCCATCTTTACTATTCCTTCTAACAAACACCACATAAGCCCTGGGTTACATCTACGTGGTGCTTTTTATGATGTTACCTGCTTTTTCTCCTTTAAGAAATCCTTCCTTTGTCCTTCAGAGTGGCGATCCAAATTCTCCTTGTTCTTTCAGAAATGGACCAGGTGAGCACATAGAGGCTGTGAAGAGACTGCAGAGTTCGGTAAAACTGCTTCAGAAGGTATGAGGGTGGCTGAGAAAAGCAGATTGTGGCTGCTTCCTGTAGACCTGAGCTTTAGTCATAACTGGGAATTGAATCGTAGGCATCATTTTTTGTGGATTTTACGAAAACCGCTCCCATCTCTGGGAACACAACTCTATTCACACTGACTTCTCCACCCGCAGTACAGTTTATTTGCTTTTCTTTCAGAATAACTTGAACCTGCTTAGAGACATGGCTGTTTTGATAGCCCGGGACTTCAAGAGCAAACCTGTTCAAAGTCAGCTGTTTGTGTTACACAGGTACGGGGGAGTTCAGGGAAAGGGGTAAAATGCCATCTTACGCGTTTTATGGCAGTTGCATCTCTCTGACACCTATTCAGGCTTGTGTCTCAAGGAAGAATATAAACAGGGTGAACAGAATATCAAACTGCCTCAGCCTGCTGGGAGGTTGTGTAGTTAAAAGAATGTATTAGTAGTTCAGTCACTGAATTCCTCTGGTTTTATAGCTAATAACTAACTATGTCTGTCTGATTTCTCCCTGCCCTGGATATTTTCAAATAAAACTGAGGAGCTCTATTTCTTAAAGATAAACACTTAAATAATTCCTAATATGTCCACAGAAATGCACAATGATGATTTAGATATATAGAAAAAACCCAATCTCCGTCCTAACAGCCAAAGTGGCCAAAACCTTGGGCCTGGTCAGGCCTTTGGTTTCTGATTGACATTTTGCACTCTAGAGGGGACTTTTCCTCCTTTCTGAAGTGTTTTTTTACCCATCCTTACAGGAAAGAGGGTGACTCTGAATTTATGAATATCATCGCTAATGAGATTGGGACAGAGGTGAGTCACTGATGAAGCCTTACCTGACACCACGGGCTTTTTGGCTCAAGCTGTAGCACAGGCTGGGCCGGGCTTCGCCTTGTACCATAGTCACAAGCGACAGGTCTCTGCTTTCCAAAGTCACACGAGGGTGTTGTCCCCAACAGCCTCAGTCTGCAGGGGAATCCTCAACGGTCAAGAGATACTACAGTGAAAATTCAGAGCACTGTAGGAGAGCCTGTCCCCCAAAGAGCTGTACAGAGCCTCATCGGCTGTTTAGAATAGAATAGACAGAATAGACTGTTTCAGCTGGAAGGGACCTACAACGATCATCTCGTCCAACTGCCAGCCATGTCCTTTTACCTTTGGATACCCCAGGACCCATTCCGTCCCCCACAACATACGATTGAGCATAAAAGGTTCAAAATCCACCCTCCCTTCTACTTTCTTCAGCTTGAGCCTCTGTCTCAGTAACGCACAGAAACGTCCAAATTGTTTATGTGCTTGGGTGGTGCTGTGGCCGCTGTCTCTGTCCTCTTGCCAGAGGAGGGCACGGGTTGTTCTGGAGCAAGACCCATCTCTCTCTCCGCAGGAGACGCTGCTGTTCCTGACTGTGGGAGATGAAAAAGAAGCAGGACTCTTTCTTCTAGCGGGGCCTGCTGAAGCAGTCGAGAATTTAGGTCCCAGGTAACATGTTCGATGGTTTCTTTAAAATTAGTAAGAATTGTAATGTTGCAGACTAACAGCTGAGCAGTATAATTGGGGTGTGGGTCCTCCTTTGCTCTCTGGAGCAGGTTAGGCCACGCCGCGCTCTTCTCTGGGGGCGCCCGGCCCTCAGGCTGTGCTGTCGCTCCTGCAGGGTGGCGGAGCTGTTGGGAGGCAAAGGAGCTGGGAAGCGAGGCCGCTTTCAGGGCAAGGCAACCAAGATGAGTCGGCGAGGAGAAGTGCAAGCTCTGCTCCAGGAATTCATCAGCCATCGAAGCCCTGAAGCGTAAGAAACAATTCTCAAAGTAGGCCTGTCTTCCCTGCTTCGCGTCAGCTCCGCCGACTTCTTTCCGGGGAATAAAGACATAAAACCAACAGCTGGTGCACATATGCTCTGCGTGAGCTGATTTGGTGCTTATGGGAAGCTGGGGGAGGGGATCTGCCCTCCGCGATTTACTGCAAGGGTTCTTTCATTTCCCCGGACAAATGGTACACATTCTTCAGTGATTAAAAGTAGTCATTATTTAACCGTTTTGTGGACTTCCTAAAACCAAGAGAGGGGCCTGCCCGTTTGCAGCACATTGTGGCTTTTTGCTTTGTACCAGTTGCTGAGGAGTAATTGCTTTGTGAGCGTGTTTATTTGTAATAAGCTGGATGCATTTAAAAAAATCAGAACACTGGTGAGAAGCAGAGGGTTTGAGTATGATATTTGCCAATAACTGCAGAGAAAATGAATCAAGGTTTGGCTGCTGAAATTTTGTAGGGAGAAGGAATGCAATGTGGCAGGAATTGGAGGGACGCTCAGATCAGTAAATCCCCCTTAAAAGACCAAACGAAGCTGGTCACCAGTTACGGCTGCCTGAGGCAGAACTGGGAGGCGAGAAGACACGATGCTGTTGTCAGCCTGTGAGCAAGGAAAGGAGGGAGCACCGAAGGACAAGTCTCCGTGAGCCCTTTTTTAAAAAGAAAGAACTGACTTTTTTTCCTGGCTGCTCAGATCCGCAGATGCTGGAGGCCTCAGGATGTTTGTGCTGATGCCACAGTGCCCACGGGGCTGCCATGGCCTCGGGACTCGGCGGTTCCCTGGGGCAGCAGTCGCTATTGACCCGCTGTGATGCTGACGGGAGCTGCTGTCGGGTAACACCAGCTTCAGCGCTGCCGTCCCAAAGCTCTCCTGTGGTGGCATCAAGTACGTTATTGCAAAAGGGAATTTCATCCATTTGTAGCTGCCCTAGCAGAACCACGTTAGCACACACGTGCTGACTCTTGTACGTGAGAATCAAATGTGGGTGGAAGCAGCCACCCTGTGCTCTGTTCTGCAGGCAGACAGAAAACCATACTGAAGTCATCTGAGCTGTACGTTGGGCATTTCTTGTAGGGGTGTGCCTGAACGTTTCCTTTGCTTCTGTTGCTATGAGCTTGAGCTTTCATTACCATCCTCTTCTCCCCAGCAGTGGCCTTTCCCCTGCCCCTGCAACAGTGTCTTATGTTTGGCTCTTTTACTTGATAAGAAATAGCTCTACAGAAGAGCAGCGGTCTGGCCCCAGCGTTACTCTGAACAAGCGCAGGTAGGTCATACTGGTACGACTGTCAGTGACAGGTTGGGTCTTGGCATACAGCTGACATGCCGCTTTCTGTGCTCGTCCGCAACATGTGACATTGTCCAAGCTCATGCTGACAGCTCCTGAGCATTCTCCTTCGGCACAGCAGCTGTTTCTGTGGTCCCCAAAGTAGAGACTACAGCTCTCTGCACTTGGACACATTGGCACCAGGTTGTGCTGGTCCTGCTGTGTCTTCACCACTACCGGGACGGCGCCTTCCTGGTCCCCTGCAGCGCCTGGCCTTCGTGGTGGGGTACCCGGCAGAGGTGCCGAGCCCGGAGCTGCCCTCCAGCAGGGCAGAGCAAGGTCCCGACCACCCCGCTCTCCTCCCCATCCCTCTGCAGCTGGGTCGGTTCCCACCCTCCTCTCCAGCTCCATCGCGAGAGCAGTACCTGAGTGCGGGAGCTCCAGCGACCAGGCTCATTTCCCAGTGAGTACCACCACCAGCGCTCAGCAAAAGGGGGCTGTTCCCCACCTCACACCTCTGCCTGGGTGGTGGAAAGCTTTCCTCCGACTTGGTCAAGCGCAGCAAAGGGCACAGTCCTGAGTCAGCCAGGACAGAGCTGCTGGCAGGGGGAGCGGGTGTCCCACGGGTAGGTAACCATTCACCTTTGTGGATCAGTCCTTTCCCTTCTTGGGGTGTGGTGGTTACTGGTCCGGTTTTGAACATCGGGAATTTCTCTGGTTGGCGCAGATATAAACTCCCATGGGAGCAGGCAGAGCTGCTGCCCGGTGCTCTCTCAGATTGCCTTTTCTGCCAGTGCGGGTCCTGGCGCTGCTGCAGTCTCAGCTGCAGAAACTAAAGGGCGCTGTGGAGCCACAGAGTGAAAAAGCTCAACGGGTAATTTGGGAATTTTTTCCCCACTTCTTGCTAGAAAGGGCATGACAGGTTTGTCCCAGATGTTGGTAACAGAGAAACAGGTGAAAAGAGGCCTCTGTCCCAAGGAGGTTTAGCTGTCATGAACACAGAGGCCCCCAGCACACGGCTAACGCGGCACCGTTCCACGCAGAGCCCTTTGCGCAGTCGGTGGGCAGCGGGCGCAGGGTCCCATCAGTCCTGTGGGGACTCTGCTGGGGGGGACAGCAGCTCCGGTTCCCACCGCACGCGGTGGGTTCCCAGCGAGGGACCTTCTGCGGCCGCCTCCGCCGGGTCTGGCTGGGCCAAGTGTGCCCGCGCCCCGGCGGGGGGAAACGGGGCGGGAGGTGTGCACTCATCGAGGTGAGCTTTTGACAGAGAATTAGGTCCACAGCTGAGCTCCGTACTGAGTGAGATTTACAGCAAACTGCCATGGAAGGCAGTGTAGCGTGGATGAGTTTTAGCGTGGGGTTCTGCTGGTGAAGGTGGCCACAGCAGAGACTGCTGATGCGGTGTTGGGGTATGGGGAATGGTGCTGGGTACGGCGTGTGGTGCTGGGTACGGCGTAATTGCTGCAGGAAGTGGTGTGCTGGGGGAGATGCTGCACATGCACACGTACAGTATCTGAACCTCGGAATCTATTTTAAACTATCTCAGACTGAGAGGATGTTTACTAACAGAGTTAATTGGCAGGCTGTACAGCCTGCACAGCTCTGAAGTCAACAGAGCAAACCCGCAGCCGGCTCCCTGCTAACGAGCGCGATGCCGAGGCAGGAGGGCCGGGATGCGGCTGCCAGGAGAGCCGACCCGGCAGCAGCCACGCAGCTTGACCCCACGTTGGCGCAGCCGGTGCAGAGCCGGCGCTCGGGCGCATGGCGCCTGGAGGCTGATCCAGCGCCGACCCCCGGGCCCTGACCTCCCGGCACAGCCAGCAGCCGCACAGCGGCTCTGTCCCCACAGCGTGGGGGCTCAGCACAGCCCCAGCGCAGCCGGATGATCCCAAAGCCGTGCTTGCTTCCAGAAGCAGCGAGGTGACACGAGTGCGTCGCTGTTCCTGGCACAAGGTGCACCCAGAAACCCTGGATAAACAGCGCAAAAAGCAGCTCGTCCCACCCAGGCTGTGCTGGCCACATCCAACTACACCCCAGGGTGAAAGGCGATGAGGACCGGGGAGCCCGGGGCTGCCGTTCCCGGTGGTTTGGCTGTGCCTCCCCCCAACACCACCAGCAGCCCCCGCCACGGTCCCTGTGCTCGGGAGTCGATCTCCATCCCACCTCACCAGCCGGCGAGACGGCCAAACTGACCAGCTAAACACACCCTCAGCTTGAATAAAATGCCTCTTGTTTACAGACACAGCCATATGTATATGTGTATAGAGATATGCATTATATATGTATACACACATGCATATGTGTACCCACAACACTTCACACAGCAGTGAATGCTGAACACCTCACGGCTGGGGGGGCTCCCGCGAGCCGATGCTTTATCTCCACATCACAGTGTCTGCCCGTTCCTGTAACAGAGCTGCCTCGCCAGCAGACGCCGAGCACCGTGGGTCAGCACCCGGCTCCCGGCAGTGCCGTCCCCAGCCCTGCAGCGTGGAGGTGGCACGTCCCCATGAGCTGCAGGGGAACACAGGGTCTTCCCCCCTGCTGCTGCCGGGTCCTGGGCTGATGACCCCCATCCGTGGGCACGGGAAGGGCAGCAGGAGAGCCCGGGGAGCGCGGGGCCCGCTGTGCCATCAGCTGCCCACAGACCACCCGAGCCTACGGCACGATGGGCGTTGTGGGTCGTGCTGCGGGAGCCATCCAGCAGCGCCGCCAGCCCAGCCCTCGCGGTCCGCTCCCGGAGTGGAGCCAGTCTGTGCGGGTTTAGCAGGGAGCAAAGAGTGGCTGGGGGGGGGGGGGGGGGCGCAAAGAGTGGCTGGGTTGCACCCATGGTCTGGTGACTGTCCCCAAGTCCAGAGCCGGGGCGGCTGCCTGCCCGGGTGCACCGATACCTGTGGGGAACGTCCCTAGACAGCCTTCTTGTCCTGTGTGGCCAGGAGCTGGGAGACGCAGTAGGGGATGAGGCCGACAGCAGCTAGCGGCACGGCCGCGCTCTTGCAGAAGGAGAGGATGTAGAAGAGCAGCTGAATGTGGGAAGGTGGTTTGAAGGCATCAAAGAGGTGTAGGATGAGGAGGGAGGCGGCGACGCAGCCCAGGCGGAAGGACAGCTGCTGGCCCTGCTTCCCCCGGCAGCTCTCCAGGTACATGTGGGAGTTGAGGGCCAGCCCCAGCCCAAAGAGGATGCCCAGGTTACGGAGGAGGCTGGCGAAGGGGGTGGTGTCGATGTGGACCCACTCGGGGTGGGCGCACCACCTCTGTGCCTTCTCCAGCGTCCAGAGCAGGTCCACGCCGAGTGCCCGCAGCAGCAGGTAGAAGCCCAGAGCGAAGCTGAAGAGGAAGAAGGTGATGCCCAGGTACTGGCGGAGGCTGGCGTGGTAGATGCAGCGGACGTGCTGGAAGGTCTTGGCCACGGCCATCCCTGCCGGTAACGAAGCAGAAGAAGAGGTGGTGCCAATCAGCAAGTGATCACCAGCCTTGGGGCAGTGGAGCCCAGCAGACCCCGCAGCCCCGGGCACACCGGCAGGGAACATGAGCCGGGGGTGCTCCCGAGTGGTGCTGACTGCCCCGATGGCCACCGCTGCGCCCTGTTGCTCACAGACAGCCCATTCCACTCCCTCGCCCAGTGACGACCCTTTCACGCCCCAAGGCTGCGCTGCCTGTGCCTTTGGGCCATGTTCACTGTCCCTCAGAGCCCAGCAGCGGCTGGCAGTGCCCTGCCCCCCGGCTGGGAGTCGTGCCTCAACGGGACAGGGACAAAGGCACGTTCTGGAGGGCATACTGCCCGTGACGATGAGAGCAGTAACTGC